GCAGCAGCAGCAGCAGCAGCAGCGGCAGCAGCAGCAGCGGTAGCGCCCTCTTGTGTTGAATACGAGCAGCAGCTCAGCCCCCAGCCTGAAGGCCCTGGCCCTTGTGGGGCCCCTGTGGCGCTGCAGCAGCAGAGCTGCTGCTGCAGCCCGCCGAAGCCCGCCAGAGCTGCGACTGGGCTAGTCAAGAGTCGCTGCTGCTGCTAAGAGAGGCCTAGAGTTGGCCTCAGGTTTGCTGCTGCTGCTGCAGCCAGAAGACACAGCGCACCTCTTTGCTGCAGGATCTGGTCCGCACACTTCGAGGCCCAAAGCCCTTCGATTTGCTGCCAGATAAATCTTATGCGGCCTAATTAATCCAAAAAAAACCTAGTTATCGAATTTGGGGAGCGAGGCTGCCCGTAGCAGCGTGAGCAGCACTTGCAGCTGCTCTGCTGCTGCAGCAGCAGCAGCAGCTGCTGCTGGTGCTCCGGCGGCCCGAGAAGCAGCAAAAGCAGAGCTGTGGATGCGTAATTTTTCCTCTCTTGAAGTTGAAGTTATTCATTAACTATTAATTCAACCGGTCTTAGCCTTTTGTCGCTGGTACGTCGCATTCTCTCAGCAGCAGCAGCAGCAGCAGCAGCAGCAGCAGCAGGACAGGTAGCATGGTCCCGCCCTTTCCTCTTCCCGAAACTCTGTTTGTCTCTTTTCTCTAGCCTCTGTCTTTGTCACCGAAGCAGCAGAAGGTGGCAGTCCAGAGCTTCGGGGTGAAGCCCTTTTGCTGCTGCTGGTGTTTGTGCGCAAAGCCCTTTCCAAACCCTAATTCGGGGTTTACGTTCGAGGGTTTCGGGGCCTCTCGTGAAACTGTGCTTGTTCTCGCTGCAGCAAGACTCTGTAGATTGGTTAGGAAGAAACCATCGGCCGCGGCTGAGTGCTGCTGGGGTCGGAGGTTTAGGGTCTAGGGTTTAGGGTTTAGGGTCTGAGGTCTACGTTTTGGACGTTGCTGTGCCTTCAGTCCGAAATGTCTACCCCTTCGAACGGGCAGCAGCAAGGGGAGGAGTCCCTTGCTGCTCCTGCAGCAGCAGCAGGAGCCGCCGCAGGAGCAGCAGCAGCAGCAGCAGCAGCAGCAGACGGAGCAGCAGCAGCAGCAGCAGCACCTGCAAAGACCGTTCGCATTTCTTTTAAAGTGTCTGGAGGAACTCACTTCTCCCTTGACGTCCACGAGGATTGGAGTGTACGTACACTCAAGGAAAAGTGCGAAGAGAATACGCAAATTCCAGTTGCTGCTCAAAGACTCATCTATAAAGGTGCGGTTGAGGGTTTAGGGTTTAGGGTTTAGGGTTTAGGGCTTAGGGTTTACGGCCTGGGTTTCAGTAGAGTTCATTGCCTGTTCTGACTCAATGCATTTTGTGTGCTGCTGTGAGTTGGTCTGGGGCTGCCGTTCCGAGGCCTGAAGGTTTAGGGTTTAGGGTTTAGGGTTTAGGGTTTAGGGTTTAGGGTTTAGGGTTTGTGTTCAGGTAGGATCTTGAAGGACGATGACTCCATCAGCTCCCACGGCCTTAAGGACGGGCACATCATGCATTTGGTTAAGAGTGTTGCTGCTGGAGCTGCGAATGCGCAGCAGCAGCAGCAGCAGCAGCAACAGCAGCAGCAGCCGCAGCAGCAGCAGACTCCAGCTTCCACAGCTCCTGCCTCCACAGGCGCTCCAGGTGCGGCTTTACACGTGGATTGAGTGCTTATGGCTCAGATTAGGGTTTAAGGTCTAGCGCATGAGGGTTTTGTTCGAGGGTTTAGGGTTTAGGGTTTAGGGTTTAGGGCTGATGTTGAGGGTTTAGGGTTTGCGGCGCAGGCGCCACTCCTGGTGTAGGAGGAATGGACCCATTCATGC